TATTCTATACTTACATTTAATAGCGTGATCTTATTTTAGCGGCGTAGTCTGTGTTCGACATGATCCCTTTAAAACGCGTCAAAACCCCACAAGCCATATGCATTACGGCCGATGTTTACCCAACATGCACCTGAGAGCTTTGATGTCTAGTACTGATGTCTGGCATTGTCCGACGACAGCTGACCGTGACCTCTTGACCTTCAGCAATCGTTGGCTGATTGCATTTTGCAGAGGTCATGGAAGTACACATCAAGTGCTTGTGGTCAATAACGCTGGACCAATAATCACGAAGAAAAATATCGTTTCTTAATTATATGTTATGTTTAATTACGCATGCTCAAGAGTCTATATTTGTAGGCAGTGGTCAGTCTTGGAATTCTGGGTGAACGAGTTCTTTTTCTGAACGCCACATGCATCTATATGGCGTCTTGTACCACAAAGCTCCCACTGTGCCGACCGACTGAATATATTGAAACTTTCTATTTTGAGAAAATCATTTGATATTTTTATAACCCACTCCATGAAGTCTTCAATATTATATAAATCCATGGTAATATTACATGTATGATATCGACAATTATAAAGGTACGACTGTTATGACGTCATCATTTAAAACTAGTGTGACGTCATCAGTTATCGTTTGTCCTGTTGTGACGTCATCAGTTGTGATGCTTACTTGTATCTATGTGTATTTTTGATGATTTCATTAAAGATAGCTCAACAGCTATAGCGAAGTCAAACTGATCACGCGAGGAGAAAATGTTCTTGGAATTATTTAAAATCGCTATAACTTATTTTACATCATTCTCTTTATGAGCTGTCAGTGTATCAACATTCGGTTATTTTCTCATAAATATCGATATATCAATCTATCAATGTATAAAAATGCATTGTATACACTTACATATAAAGTGTATAAACGTCTCGTGCTCGTCAGGGCCACCATTAATACACATATTTTAAAGTATATATAACAAAGTAAGTGGCTCTATAGTATATATAACAAAGTAAGTGGCTCTATAGTAGAACACATTAAAGAGCCTTACGCTCTACCACATGGTGATTAACGAATCCCTACTAGTCCCACTCTCTGATCGTTTAATAATTTTTAGTATAATAATTTTATTTAGCAACTTGCGCTTTTCAAAAGCGCAATTACATTACCAAGGGGCATTTATGCACTTATTAGAAAAATTGCAGTTCGTCATTCAATTCATTCAAGGTAAGGTATAGCATAATATATGCATAATAGGATTTGATGAGCTGATCCTACTTCACGATAAATCAATAAATATTGGATACATAACCAGCTAGTTCATCATCATGATACTTTCACGATAACTACATAATTGTCAATATTGCGAGCTAATTTCCTTAGATTGTCATACTGGAATCGACAATGTAAGCTAGTTAGGGCCAGCGCTCGTCAGCGGTAATCACGACGGACCATGTTTCGCTGGAAAGGTGTATAAACGTAATCCGGTGCAAGGATAGTCTCTCGTTAATATTATGTTTACCATAGCCCCTCGTTAATCCGGTGTGTAAGATAGTCTCTCGTTAATCTTATGTTCACCATAGCCCCTCGTTAATCCGGTGTGTAGAATAGTCTCTCGTTAATATAATGTTTACCAAAGCCCCTCGTTAATCCGGTGTGTAAAATAATCTCTCGTTAATCTTATGTTTACCATAGCCCCTCGTTAATCCGGTGTGTAAAATAGTCTCTCGTTAATCTTATGTTTACCATAGCCCCTCGTTAATCCGGTGTGTAGATTAGTCTCTCGTTAATCTGGTGTTTACCATAGCCCCTCGTTAATCCGGTGTGTAGAATAGTCTCTCGTTAATCTGGTGTATAGAATAGTCTCTCGTTAATCTGGTGTTTACAATAGCCCCTTGTTAATCCGGTGTGTAGAATAGTCCTTCGTTAATATTATGTGTATAACAGCTTCCGTAGGAGTGTACAATAAACCCTCGTTAATCCGGAGTGTATGACAGCTTCCGTTAATCAGTAGTGTACAATAGTCCCTCGTTAATCTTATGTGTAAAACAGCTTCCGTTAATCCGGAGTGTAGAACAGTCCTTCGTTAATCCGGAGTGTAGAATAGTCCCTCGTTAATCTAAAGTGTACAATAGACCCCCGTTAATCTGGAGTGTATAACAGACGTCCGTTAATCCAGAGTGTAGAAAAGTCCTTCGTTAATTTTATGTGTATAACAGCTTCCGTTAATCCGGAGTGTAGACCAGTCCATCTTTAATCCGGAGTGTATAACAGCTTCCGTTAATCCAGAGTGTACAATAGTCCCTCGTTAAACTTATGTGTATAACAGCTTTCGTTAATCCGGAGTGTAGAACAGTACTTCGTTAATCCGGAGTGTAGAATAGTCCCTTGTTAATCTAAAGTGTAGAACAGTACTTCGTTAATCCGGAGTGTATAACAGCTTCCGTGTATCCGGTGTGTAGAATAGCCCTTCGTTAATCTTATGTGTATAACAGCTTCCGTTAATCCGGAGTGTAGATCAGTCCATCTTTAATCCGGAGTGTTTAACAGCTTCCGTTAATCCGGAGTGTACAATAGTCCCTCGTTAATCCGGAATGCATAACAGACTTCCGTTAATCCGGAGTGTACCATAGTGCCTCGTTAATCCGGATTGTATAACAGACTTTCGTTATTCCGGAGTGTAAAATAATCCATCGTTAATCTTATGTGTATAATAATTTCCATTAATCAGGTGTAGAATAGTCTTTTGTTAATCCGGTGTGTATAATAATCCCTCGTTAAACCGGTGTGTAGAATTGTCCCTCCTTAATCCGGTGTGTAGAATAGCCCCTTGTTAATCCGGTGTGTAGAAAAGTCCCTAGTTAATCCGGTGTGTATAATAGTTCTCCTTAATCCGGTGTGTATAACAGTCCTTAGTTAATCCGGAGAGCACAATGGAGCCTCGTTAATCCGATGTGTACAAAAGAACCTCATTAATCCGACTCTAAAAACCAGGAAAATATACCCTTTCGTATACTTGTGTTGTGTTCTACAGATGATTAAATGTAATTGGAAATTCGTGTTCCGTAATTCTGGTTGTGCTGTTAAAGGTATTTGAACCGTGTACTAGACTTTTCCTATTTGTGTTCAGTATGTCCATCTTTCCAACTTTAGACATAATACAACAACATGCTGAATTATTCACTTTCATGATGATAGGAATACTCGGAATAAGATTCATCAGTTTGGTTTGAATACTAAAGGCTAATTTTGTTTTGAACACAAACAGGAATTTAAAACTTGTTTTTTGAGCTTTCGAAAACGTCTGTTTCCTTTGTCAAGCGATGAGTGTAAATAACCGATGTTTCGATTTGAAACCGCTGCAGTATTAGAGTGCGATTGGGCGAAATCTCTCAATGGTTTTTGACAGCTGACTTTACTGATTCGGTACACTGTGGCTTATTAAGTTGTTTTCAGCGGTTAAGAGCCAAGACACCGGCTATTTACACTCTTTGATTGCCAAAGGAAACAGACGTTTTCGAAAGCTCGCAAAATAAGTTTTCAATTCCTGTTTATGTTCAAAACAAACTTAGCCTTTACGATATGAATAGATTGACGTTTTTCTCGCCGACAATTATGCTTCAAAATTACGTGCAAATATTTGTTCCTGTTTGTAACTGCTTGGACTTTTATATCACCCTAAGAATATCTTCCTGTGACTAACAATTGACAAAAAGTGTACATGTCTTTCCGCTCAGTATCGGTTTTCCGAACACAGAGAGTAACTGTGGCAGAGAGCCGTGAATTCCGACGCATGTGCGTATGGATGCAGAATCAGTTTCCGGTCTCTTGCAGCTTGGATTAGCGGCCCTCAGTTTTTCGGACGCTAATTATTTCATAATTCTATGAGATAGTGATCGACCAGAATATTTCAGCTGGGCAATGGTGATGGAGTGTTCTGGGAGTAATAGAGAACAGATCTGTCCGAGGAACTCGCTTTATACGCCTCCTTGGAGCTGATATTGATAGATCGATTGCATGACGGGGGCTTAGGGCTACCTCACACAGCAATTAATCTCACATCGACTGAGATATGTGTTAGGGGACATTGTATGTATATCTATAGTAGAGCCAGTCCATGCTTTCATTTACTAAACCTCAGATTTGTTTTTCTAGAATCAGGAATTCACTGGATTAAAACAGCACTACACCACGGCTTTTCCCAATAGATCACCGACAAACTCGTTAAAATATCATGATGATACACATCTGTCTAGCGAGCTTTATATATGAGTATGTATCTGACTAAATATCTAACATATTAATATGTATCGGTCGAACTATCCTTACAATTTAATATGTATCTGGTTAGACTATCTTTGCATCTTATTACAAATATCGACGTCAGTAACATTTAACGATAACACATGTGACTTCTAGCTAATGATTTTGATTGGTTTCTCGCAACAGCCGGGTTCATATGAGGACGGATGTCTGGGGAGACACCACTAGAGAGAGAAAGAAGAAAGGAACGAAAGATGGACAAGAAATATAGGAAACTAATATAACTAATGGAAAGAGTAAGTAAATCACAAAATGCGCAAGTTTCCAAAATCCTGACATATTGTGTTTTGCATAATTTCGGACACACTCAATGCAGTCCTGTACTGAAAATAAATTTGATTTAATTTAAGGATTCCTGTTCCACTGCCATACTTACTATGCATCGGAAACTTTTTTTTTCCGGAATAACTACAGCTTTGATAAATCATTTCTGTACAAAAACATACCTTGCCGGACTTTCTGAAGAAAACACGTAAATAAAAACAGATCCGGAGCTAGATCAGGATTCGAATCCTGGACCACAGATTGTTATACTGTCGTTTACTTAGCTACCTTGTCAACGAATACAAAAACCGTCTAGTTATATCCAAAACAAAAAAGGGGGTGCTACTGTATATACGAAAAACTAAGTGAACAGGGATCCTTAAACCAGAAAATAAGATGACATGAAAAAATAACTTACCTGGAAAGAGTTGAGGGTGCCGAAGTATATGGGAATGAAGGCGAGCCAGATGATACAGGTTGTGTACATGGCAAATCCAATGAACTTCGACTCATTAAAATTCTCCGGAATCTTTCTTGTCTTTATAGCGTAAAGTGTACATACAATAATTAACAGCATGTTATACATTAGCGATACCAGGAAAGAAATGTCATCCGTCTTGCATTTAAGAATCACTTCGTTCCTCTTACCGTTAGGTAGATATATACGAGTTCCCGGGGGCTCGATTACAAGCCAAACAATAGTAAATAATATTTGAATTAGAATTAAAATACATGTTATAACAATTTGTGATTTAGGGCTGATGAAAGGGGGTCGTCTTGCCGACCGCCTTGCGCTGTCAAATATTCTCGATATTCGATTGGTTTTCGTTAATAAGGATGAATATATCACAGAGAATCCAAAACCCACCCCGAACCTCTGTATGGCACACATGATAGTAGAGGGTTTGGCAATTAATATGAAGGTTATAAAGTAACACATCAAACATCCGGACAACAGGAAGTAGCTCAGCTCTCGTCCGGATGCCATGACAACGGGAGTATCGTGAAACTTCATGAACGTGAGAATTACGGCTAGAGTTGCGATAAGACCTACACACGCTAACACCATGGGAACAAGAGCATACACCGTATCCCACTGCATGTATTGTTTCGGAAGCACGTGGCAATCTCTTTTATTCTTATTTGGCCATCTTCCCCGACCACAATCCTCGCACGTAAATTCATCTTTCAGATATTCGAAATCCTGACAAGTAATGCAAACCCAACAACAGGAATCTCCTGACTTTCCGATATACTTGTACTGGTCAAAGTTACATGGCTGGCTGCATCTGGACTCTGGGAAGACTCCGGTTGCTCCAGATGACCAAACAAGACGGTCCACGTCCAGCTGTAAAGACCTGGACATCGACCAATTTCCCACCACGACGTACTCGTACTTTTTGGTTTTGGAATTCTTTTGGTAGTTCATGATCCGATATCGACCCAGTGCGTCGCCCTTGGAATCAAACTGGACCGTTGCACCATAACCATCTGTAACAGATCCAAATGATATAATTAGATAATTAGTACACAATGTACCGAGAGAAAAAAACTGTGTATGTCGTTCGCAATCAAACTTCATAATAACTGCAGTTCGATCATTTTCATTGTTGTTGTTTGGGGTTTTTTCTCGTTGAATTTTGGGTCTTTTGCTTAAAACAAATGCCGAAAAGAAATGGCCAACACCGTATGTTTTGCACATGGAAATATTTGATTTAAGTTTTTATTTGCAAACTATACTCTTAATTCAATACATGCAGAAATGTTCAGTTCATACACAGAAACTGACCCATTCATATACATTTGTATAGGAATGGGTGTTAGTTGGAGTTACTTGTATAAATGATTACAGGGAAAATATGTTTCATGATTATTGACGACACTGCAAAGGATTTTGTATGGTTATTCAAAATGTTGACATCCAAATGAAATGAACACATTCTTAAGTCAGAGCAGGTCAAAACAGATCATCAAACCGTTCATACTGTGCGGTAATAACAGCCGGAAGTACTTAAAATGACTTCCGGTAATTTTGCGATCGCGGGGTCCACAAAAGTCGGTTTCACACTTGTGAAATCGTATTTAGAACGGGATCACACAAGTCATTAGGAGGAGTTTAGTGCCTTACTTCCTTGAGTGGGCGAGGACATTAACGACGTGTGAAGGTCAAGGTCAATTGGCTTAATGTTATTTAAACCTCGTTGTAGTCTCGCGTCATACATTTGTAGTATATGCTTTGAGGAGACTGTATACAGATGCTTGGTATTGATGTTACGTTGTAGAGGACTGTGACATCAACGTGCCTTTAGTAATTCGTCTCTGCCCAAATAAGGAGAATAGATGATATGTCAACAAAATATGTTAATTATAACTCTAAAAATAGAAATACTACATTCCCGACGCAAATATGTTAGAGATGTTATTTTTTTTTTTATAGATTTGGAGAGCTGCTTTAACCAAGATAATCCATCAACGTATATGTGAGTCAGAATTTGGTTTAAGTATTAGTGATACATTTATCGTCCCGGTGAGGAAGAAACAAACGGTAAAGATGTATTTCTCTTAAGCATATCATAACATTACTCTTCTTGTGATTGCAGACAAAAGAACACATATAATTCACTTTCTATATCTCATTGCATTATAATAATAGGCGACCTGTACGGGGCCACCAGAAGACTCATCATGAATCTGGTTGGCCCACTTTCCGACCCGTATTTTAGGAGACAATTATTTTTTAATACAAAACTGTCCCAGCAATCCCAGTATTTTTACTGCAAACCAATGTGACTGGATTATTGCGGTTTTACAATAGAACCTGGCATGAAGAGAAATGATGGAAATTTAACCCTGGATCAGACAGAAGGCCTTGTGAACGGTTCTACATTTCACTTGCGACTATTGGACATGTTGATGTATAGACTGCCCTAGATCCTCAGCTGACCAGTTCCTGATTCCATGCGTCCCCAAACCTATGAATGACTTGCAATGTTAATGACGATTGGCGCCATACGCTTCCTAGATTAGGTACTTATCACCTGTTTCCCCTCCGCTCGCGATCACCTTCTGCGCACTTTAATCCCTGTATCACGTGAATGTTACCAGCGATTCCTTTTTGTGTTCTGTAAATTCGACGGAGGTGTTTTGAGTGCATCGCGTGTCCATAGATCAAAAATCAATGTATATTTGCATGGTACCCAAATGGATATCGACAAGTAACATACATGAGAAATAAATTTGCTATTAAAATATCGCCTTCTGCTTAATCCCGGTATACCCGTTATAATGGGAGACATTCTATAAATGCGGGCATTCGTATTGTTATTAACACTATGACTTATTCATGCAAACAGTGATGAGAAAATGCGTGCAATGAAAATAGAGTATAACGAAAATGCGTGAAATGAAAATGGAGTATAACGAAGATTAGTAAAATGAAAATGGGGTTTAACGAAAATGAGTACAATGAAAATGGAGTATAACGAAAATGTGTGCAATGAAAATTGAGTTTAACGAAAATGAGTGCAATAAAAAAGGAGTATAACGAAAATGAGTAAAAAGAAAATGGAGTGTAATGAAAATGAAAACAATGAAAGAGTAAAAAATGAAAAAAGGAGTATAACGAAAATGAGTACAATGAAAATGGAGTGTAATGAAAATGAAAACAACGAAAAAGGAGTATAACGAAAATGAGTACAATGAAAATGGAGTATAACGAAAATGAAAACAACGAAAAAGGAGTATAACGAAAATGAGAACAATGAAAATGAAGTATAATGAAAATGAGTACAATATAAAAGGAGTCTTACGAAAATGAAAACAAAGAAAATGGAGTATAACGAAAATGAGTGCAATATCAAAGGAGTCTAACGAAAATGAGAACAATGAAAATGGAATATAACGAAAATGAGAACAATTGAAAAGGAGTAAAACTAAAATGAGTACAATCAAAATGGAGTATAACAACAAATGAGTAAAAAGAAATGGAGTTTACCGAAAGTGAAAACAATGAAAAGGGAGTATAACGAAAATGGGCACAATGAAAATGGAATATAACGAAACTGAGAACAAAAAAGGAGTAAAACGAAAATGAGTACAATGAAAATGGAGTATAACAGAAATGAGAACAATTAAAAGGGAATATAACGAAAACAGGTACAATGAAAATGAAGTATAACGAAAATGAGTACAATGAAAATGGAGCATAACGAAAATGTGTGTAATGAAAATGGAGTATAACGAAAATGAGAACAATTAAAATAGTGAATAACGAAAATGAGTACAATGAGACAGGCAAAATTTAAACAACCTAAATAAGTAATATATGATTTACTATAACGAGTACATTACGAGTAAACACAATGAGCGCAGCAACTATGAGTACTACTGAAAGTAGAACTGCAAATGTGAAAACGAACAAAATGAGCCAAACCACAAATGAGTACCGCAAAAATAGAGTACAACGGAAAAAATTGGATGAAAGAGGAAAAACGGAATCTGGTAAAAGAATTAATACAACTTAAACGAGTAGATTTAATGTTAATACGAGAATTGTAAAACTGAGTACACATATTCAGCAAGTCCTACGATTGGAAAAGAGGCGCTGTAATGTTTGTCTGTTTTAAAGAAATGCATTATTTGGCAGACATAACGGGCCGTGAGATGGGTCGATCGGGGATAAAGTCTTAGATTGGTTAGCCAGGAGCAGACACTCAAACAGCTCAGACATAGTAATCAGGAAAAAATAAAACCGAGTTTCAAATCAATTCAAGTTTTGAATTTAAATACAATTCCAATGCACAAAGTAAAACGTTGAATCGTCTTAGATATAATCGCCTTAAATTGTATCAAATGTATTCAGGAGGCTGGAAACCTCGATAACACAATTTATTGATTCAGACGGTTAAATGTATCCAACATTTCATTATTTGATATTCGTGGGTCTCTCACATGTTTTTTCGTAATACAGAATTTTGAACCTCGTATTGAAATCATTCTGATGGACCGTAAGTGTATGGCCCCTATAGTTGCTTATATACCTGTCCTAGTTGCCATGGGGATTTGGCTTGATGTCGGCATGTTGTCAGGCGCTTAAACGTAGCGGTATGCAGGTGAATCGACACATTTTTAAAACAGAAAAACAAAACAAAGACACTGCTTGTTGCAACCCCCGCTTCTCCTCTACCGAGGCCCTACCCTAGCTAGATCCGCTCCTAAATGATTCACTCCGACCTTCTACCGAGGCCCTACCCTAGCTAGATCCGCTCCTGAATGATTCACTCCGACCTTCTACCGAGGCCCTACTCTAGCTAGATCCGCTCCTGAATGATTCACTCAGACCTTCTATCGAGGCCCTACCCTAGCTAGATCCGCTCCTGAATGATTCACTCAGACCTTCTACCGAGGCCCTACTCTAGCTAGATCCGCTCCTGAATGATTCACTCCGACCTTCTACCGAGGCCCTACCCTAGCTAGATCCGCTCCTGAATGATTCACTCCGACCAAGGGCTAGCTACGCCCCTGGTTGTTTTATTTCAAACATTGCAACCAGTTCTGATAAAGTCGTGTCACGTTTAGCTCACCTATGTGACTATACGTATAGGTTTTAATCCCAACGTCGGGACAACTTTGTCAGACATTTAAATAGGGTTTGAACGGCGTTTTATTTTATTTTCATGCGGTATGAACGCAAATAGGTTACATTCATATTGCATGAATTTGCATGCTAACGCGCATCATGGAATATGTTTTAACGGAACTGTGTTACCCTCATAAATGTTAAAACGATACATTTCAAACCTCAACTGGATATAACCGATTTGCGTTCATACGTCATGAAAATTAAAAAAAAACTACCGTTCAATCCATATATTTACATTTTTACTTTAGAACAATTGTTTAATCTAATTTATTTGTTCTTAAATAATCAATTTATTTACTGCATTATGTATATGCGTCGTCTTTTACACGACATTGGCGGAATAGCCCTATATAAATAAAATTGGCGCCAACAATTAACTATAGTCATTGAGCGTTTGACGCAGAAGCATTCTCCATGTTATCCGAAGCGAAGCGCCAAGACTCTCACTGAACAAGGTTAATTTATGACGTCATAAGTAAACCACGTGTTACTTCACGGGAGTTTATGCTTTATACTCGAAAGAAATGCATTTCTGCTGGTAATGTTCATATACTGGGTTGCAGCGCAAATGCAAATATACAGTTATATTCTACGTTATACACGGCACCATCACTGAACGTTATACTCAGTCAATTACCATAACGCGGTTCGGATCCACAATTATCTAAGTTCGAACCGATACTATAATACCGCAGTTCAAACTCACAATTACCATACCGGAGTTCTGACCGACAGTTATCACACTTTGATTCCCGGAGTTCGAACCCACAATTACTATACCGAAGTTCCAACTGACAGTTACAGTGTATCACACTGGGGTTTCCGGGGTTTGCAATCCACAACCGTATAT